ATGTCACCAGACGAGTGGCACTTGCCCACGAATGTCCACACGACCGCCCAAGCGCCTGGGTCTCTTCCCAGAGCACACCTGGGATCACTGAGCACAGCTACACGCGCTGAAACAGACCTTAAATTCAACGTCCACCTCTGACACACAGCAAGAGTAATCCTTGTTTGAAGTAGATTCCAAAAGAGTTAGGGCAGTATTGCAACTAAGAAACTGCTCTTTTGTACAAGCTCCTAAAAGAAGCAATTTTGCTTAATGCACAAGTACATGACTGTAAACGCAGAGCTTAAGTGACGTGACAGAATGTAACATGAGGCACACAAAGGAAAATAGAAATGAAACTTGGGGTTTTGTTTACAGGTTCCTCTGTGCTCCCACTTGATTTAGGGAGTTCTTATTGAAATATGCTTTCACAGCACGGAGTGCCAAGGCTTATTCTCCTACCGAAATCCCAACTCCTACAGACAGCACAAGTCTGGAATATGCAGTCTTAGTTTATTCGAGAAGGCACATGATAAAGATTAAGAAGGTACATTAAACAAAGACTGAAAATTTAAAAATTATCCAATAATAATTATCATTTTCATTTTGCATTTTCCTGACACAACTCTCAAATCCATCTTCTTCCTTAAATATCCAAAGTTACATTTGCCTGCATATGCATTTCTATAAGCCTATAATTAGCTTAGTTGCTAAAACCAAGGCACTTCAGCTAAGATGCTTAACTTATTCTTTAATACACGTAGATCTTCGCAAGACTCGGTGAGGTAAAACCAACTGAGCAAGTGTGTGGGCGTTTAACACGCACAGCTAGGGAGCTAAATCCCAAACTGCACATCCCATCGGCTCCCAAACAGCCACGGGCACGAGCAAGCTGCAAAGCAGGGGGGCAGCTGCAAGAGCAAGCTGCAAAAAGGCAGGTGCAAGGAGAAGCTGTGCAGCAAGCGCTCCAGCAGCGGCCTCCAGCACCTCTGGAGGTGCCTGTTAGGGAAACGGGAATGAGCTCCCGCATGGGGTGACCGGACACGCAGCACTAACCCGAACGGGCTCTGGGCTCCTAAATGTCACCAAGTGCAAGGACTCTCTGCTAGGAAAGCCGGGAGCGCCGGCAGCATCCCAAGAGCAGCTCCGCTTGCTGCTAATTCCCACCCATCCAAGGCAGGGATGGGTAGTTCCTGCACGTGGCCACGGCTCCTCACCTCTGCTCATGCCAAAGCCTGCACTCGAGTAGGAAAGGGAATGGATGGTCACAGAGCTGGGCTCCTCAAAGGGGCTTCTCCCCTGCTTCCTCCAGGTCCTCACTACAGCCAAGCAAATACAAAACTGCAGCCTACAAGCACTAGGAAACTGAAATTGAACAAGACAATGAATTTTCATAATACACCTGCTTAAATAAATAAGCACAAATAAGTGAGAACAAGCATCTTTGTTTAGATAAAAACTAGAAGGAAAAAAAAAAAAAGAAGTTCTAAAGTCTTTATTTTCTATTTAAGGAGGTTGTAACTGGGAAGCAATGGGGTGCTCTCCCATCTGAGCAGACCAGGAAAGGTCTGCTTAGGTATCTCAAGGAGAAGGCACACACGGGGCACAAGGGACAACTGTATTTGTTCCCCAAACTGTTTATTGTTTTGTGTAAAAGAACATAGATTTTCCTCAAAAACAAAAATTTTCCTTAAGAAAAAAAATCAACCTATTTTAATAACAGAAGTAGAGACAGACTCCTCATGAACATCAGACAACACTCGGAATCCTGTGTGTCTGGGCTCTCTTCTGCTCATCCTCCTCTACCTTCATTTTCAGGACCTCCCTTCAGAGTATTAACACACAGTACCCAATCTGCAGCAGATCACCCCAAGTAACAGCAGTTTAAGAGAAAATCTTATGTAAATTAAAATTTTAAACTCCTTAAGCACAACTACTTGTATTAGCTTAAAAAATAACTTCCAAGAGGATAAGTACTTTAAACCTGAAGCCATCCAGCATACGAGAACTTGACTGGGGCACATTCCTCTCTCCATGCAAACATCTCTTATTCCTATATACGGCTCATACTGCCTTGCAGTATGTTAGAATCAGGATAAGACTTCCAAGAGAAAAACTAGTAACTATTTTTAACTTGAAAGTTATTCAGTTGTTTTTAGTATAAAAGAGCAGTCAAGAGGTGAAAACAAAAGTGAACTTCAGGAGTTTGGATTTTCTAACAAGGAGTAAGGTGTGCAGAGTTTTGTGTTTCAAAAAATATGCAACAGGGCTTACCTTTTACATATCTGCACATTTATGAAGATATATGTAAGTTATACGGATGCGCACAGACACGTGCACGCAGGCACGAACGTGAAGCAGTAAGAGCAGAACACCCGTGCCAGGTGCAGAACACAGGTCAGCAGCAGTTTCTTACCCAGGTGAGAGCTGGGCACTTCCATCACTGCGAGCACCGAGTCCCACCCCCCTGTGCTGCAAAGCAGGAGGGGAGGACACAGCCAGGACAGGTCTGGGGGCAGTGCTGGGTGAGGAACAGGAGCAGGGAAGGCTCGTGAACAGCGTTAGTGGGAGCTCGGGGAACACACCTGGCACTGCTTCGAACTGCTGAAGCAGGAAAAGGACACAGTGAAAAACAAACCTGCAAGAGAGATAAGAGCAGTTGACAAAAACCCAAGCAGCTATATATGTAGGCAAAGCAGGAGGGAGCTAGCAGCCCTTTTAAAGATGTACTGCAAAGTAAGATTTATTAGAGATTTATTATACTCTTAAGTATTTTGGATTTAAGAAACACTCAGTTGTCTCCTTCACGCTGCGGATGGGGGAAGCGAGGGGGCTGCAGGAGAAGGAAAGCCCGAGGAACGCAGCCTGCTCTCCCCACACGGGCTGCAGCCGGGCTCAGCACGCACCGCGACAGCACCCGCGAGCACCGCAAGGCCCGATCGTCAGCCCCAACTCACACTAAAGCAAATGGGGGTTAATTTTAACTATATATTAGGTTAACTTCTCCTCTTCCGCCTCGTTCCCACCCAAAGCGGGGAGGTCACCTTACATTTCACATTGATCTTCTACTGGGCCAGCACAACAGGAGGCCGGTGCGGGGAGGTCACCTTACATTTCACATTAATCTTCCACTGGGCCAGGCCGGCGTCCCTGAAGGGACAGTCGGTAAGTCCTCATCTAACTCAAAGTAGCACGAGCAGGAAGTCGTGTTACTCATCAGCCACACTTACTGGATGTTCTGCATTGATCTTGATAAATTCCAACTCAAATCCACTGAGTCACAGCTCTAAAACCTCACCCTTGGGAGGGCAGATCATTCACTGCATATAACCACTGCTGCAAAACCCAAGGCAATAACCAAAACTGGGGAGGCTGATACACTTCCTCGCCGACGCTGGAAGGGGTAACGGCCTTAGGACTCTTTGGCAGGAATTCCCTGCATCACAAACTGCTCGTGCCAAAAATAATAGCTCCATTCAGCACATTTTGTACAACTTACTGCGTGGAATAGGAGCCTCGCTGGCACATTTAATAAATGAGGTGTACGGAGCATTAATGGCTGTTCCCAAGAGGACTCAAAGGCCACATGTGCAGGTCATTTTCAACATCCACACAACAAACAAGATACATGTCTGTCTTCCTATTTTAAGGAGGAGTGGGGAATAAGAGCTATCTGATAACTGTTGTTATTAGATTTCACATTGAATAAAAATAATAATAAAAGAATTTAAGAGAATCCAGATGAGAAGCTAAACAGCCGCATCCTGATCAAACATTTGCCTTGGCACCTTCCAAAAGGTCTCATCTTCCACGATATCTCCTTTTCTCTCAAGGAGGCACAACCAGTCTGCCTGGAGCAGTAACTCCTGCTCTTGCTCCTCTCCATCTCTGCAGATCCAGGAAAAGCTGGACTTTGTACAGGAAAAAGCCTGCACTGGTGCAGCTCTCCCATGGAAGAGCTTTTACAAGTGAGCACGTTGACTAATGATTTACGAGAGCTCCAGCTGACTAACAAATCAGAAGCTACTAAGTCACAGTAACTCAGCTGCCTTCCTGGTGAGGCCATAAGCCTCAGGCAAAAGGGTTCAATCCGAAGTGAGGTGGCTTAAGCGTGTCACACCAGGACACCTAAAGAACCAGCAGAAGTTCGACTTGCTGCTTTTAAGTATTGTGGTCAAACTGGTGTTACCTTTCCAGCATAGACAGGCCCTGCAGGACACGGAGACTTGATCACAAACAAAGCTGTAAGTTTTAATAAGCCTTCCCAGAAGATTTTCCTATCGGGAAGAATACTGGGGGGACAGTGGGGTAAAAACACTGACATGCAAAATGAAATTCTGAAACAGAGCATTAGACAACCACTTTGGTGGTTTTGTGGGTAGTTATGAAGCATCGCAAGTTCTTATCAAAAAGAACCCATGAAGTTATGAAAATTCAACACACATAGCTCAGTTTTCCTTCTGGCTTTCTCATTACACATCTTAACGGGATACCTTCAAAGTATTTTCATTTTAAACTAACCAGATTGTCTCAGCTATTATGAGCATCATTTTTCCAAAGGTCACGTGCAGTTTTATAATCTCAAGCAACACTGAAAAACTCATGTTCCAAAATATAAACTGCACCCATTCCCACACAGATTAAACATGAACAGGACACACCTCAAAATGCTATAGAATACTCTACAATTTTTTCCTCTACTTCTTGAAAGAGTGAGGAAATCTCCAACAGTTTATACAATTGCTATCAGGGTGCAAGTTAGACATTTGTGAGGCACAGGAATGACCTCTGAAGATTGATCTTGAGCATGCAGCATCTTACAGAACTTGAAACATATGTATTTC